CTGTTTCCTTGTTGATCTTCTGTCCGGTTGATCTGTCTATTTCTGAGAGTGGAGTATTGAAGTCCCCCAATACTATTGTATTGGAGTCTAAGTCTCCTTTTAAGTCCCTTAACATATCTTTTAAATAGACCAGTGCCCTGTAATTAGGTGCATATACATTGATAATTGTTATATCTTCCTGGTGAATTGAACCATTAATCATTATATAGTGCCCCTCTTTGTCTCTCTTAACAATTTTTGTGTTAAAGTTTATTTTGCCTGATATTAATATGGCTACGCCTGCTCTTTTTTCATTTCTGTTGGCATGGAATATCTTTTTCAAAACTTTCACTTTCAGTCTGCATGCATCTTTGTTGGAAAGATGTGTTTCTTGTAAGCAGCAAATAGATGGGTTTTGCTCCTTAAACCATTCAGCCAGTTTGTGTCTTTTAACTGGAGAGTTGAGGCCATTAACGTTCAATGTGACTATTGATAAGTAGTAACTTTGCCCTGCCATTTTCCCAAAGATATTTTCTAACATATGCTTTGAACTTCCTGTGATCTTTTACTGGGAGGTTTTCTTCTTTTACTTTTTTTCATATTGATGACCGTGTTTCTGTGTTTCTGTGTGTAACACATCTTTAAGCATCTTTTGCAGGGCTGGACGAGTGGTGAAAAATTCTTTCAATTTCTGTTTGCTATGAAAGGTCTTTATTTCACCTTCATTCATAAATGAGAACTTTGCAGTATATAATATTCTGGGCTGGCAGTATTTCTCTCTTAGTACCTGGGCTATATCTCGCCATTCCCTCCTAGCTTGTAGGGTTTCTGATGAGAAGTCTTTTGTGAGTCTAATTGGAGATCCTCTGAGAGTAACCTGATGCATATTTTAGAATATTTTCTTTATGTTTCACTGTGGTAAGTTTGATTACAACATGTTGTGATGATAATCTCTTTTGGTCATATTTATTGGGGGTCCTGTGAGCTTCCTGTACTAGGATGTCTCTATCCTTCTCCAAACCCGGAAAGTTCTCTGCTAGTATCTCACTAAAAAGGCCTTCTAATCCTTTCTCTCTCTCCATGCCTTCAGGAACTCCTAGAACCCGAATGTTGGGTTTTTTAATAGTATCCTGTAGATTCCCAACAATATTTTTTAGATTTCTAATTTCCTCTTCTTTTCTTTGGTTTGACTGTATACTTTCCTGTGCTCTGTCTTCTAAGTCCAATATTCTCTCTTCTGCTTCACTGACTCTGTTTTTAAGGCTCTCTAATGTGTTTGTCATTTGATCTATTGAATTCTTCATTTCATTTTGATTTCTCTTCACTATCACAATTTCATGTTCTACTAGATTCCTCATTTCATTTTGATTCCTCCTTAATATTTCATTTTCACGAGAGAGATTTTTTATCCTGTCCAGTAAGGATTTCTGTAGTTCATGAATTTGCTTTTGAGAACTTTTAAATGTTCTTATCATAAATTTTTTGAAATCCATATCTTGCATTTCTTCTATCTCATCATCTTCATAATCTTGTATTGGAGTGTCATGTTCATTTGGGGGTGTCATAATGTCTTCCTTGTTCTTGTTTCCTCGGTTTCTGCATTTGTTGCTTTGCATTATGGAGATATTCTTTGGTTTATTCTTTTTTTTTCACTGTGGTGGCTTTTCTCATTATATTATGACTCTAGATTAAATGGACTGTCTGCTTTTGGTGAATCTTTAGAGGCTTGTGGTGGGTGTGGCCAGAGAGCTCTGTTCAGTTCTTCAGGGTTAAGGGTGTGCCAAAGGTGACACACCCAGGTTAGGCATGGCAAATCTTCTCTCTATATATCTCTTTTTTATTTATTTTTATTCAGAAGGGAAGTAATTCTGCACAACTGAGCTATTCTCCTTGAAGGCAATCAGTGCCTTAGTGCTAGCACCTGGGGGTTTAATATTTGTCTGCTCTGTCCCAAGGACCACACAAAGGATCTGTGCAGTCCTCACTGTAAGCTCAGATTCCCCTGCAATCTCCCACCGCGTTGCCAAGGTACCAAGTTTGTGGCTACACCCACCAAGAGTATGTCTCAGGCACTCCATTAGTTCTCCCACACACCCTCAATTTTTTTTTTTCACAGTCCCAGTTCATAAGCTCCACACATTCATTAGGTCTTAACCTCCTGTTATTTCTCCCAACCAGAGTCAGGTTTTTCTGCTTGGCTGAGGACAGGCACAGCCCTGAGCTGGAGTAGCTGTTATGTATGTCCGAGATGGCACCTGCTGTTTGTCTTGCTTTGTAAGGTGAGTGGAAAGAGAAAATTGTGTCTGTACCAGTCCTTTTATTTTTTTCTCTCCTCTAGTTAGCCTGGTGAACTTTCTTCCACAGGGCTTCAAGCCTCATTCGCTCTAGGCTCTTCCTGCCACTTTTCTACCAGTGTCTTGGGCTACTGCAGTTTTGCCTCACCTCCCTTCCCAGCACTGGTGTGTAGACTCGGTGGCTGGGGTCCCAAGTTGTGGGTGCCCATGCCCTCACGTAGGTCCACCATGTCCCACTAGTTCCAGAAGAGTTTCCTCTGCAGTTTTTTCCCTAACTCTTCCCTGAAATTAGGAGTTTTCTTGTTAGTCAATAGTTAATCAGGCTTTTTTTCTCCTTTCCTCCACCATCATTGTGAGTGTACCTGACTCTTCCTCGCCATGTCTTCTCACAAGACCTTCAGAATCAAGAGATTCATGGCCAAAAAAAAAAACAAAAACTAAACCACCCCATTCCTCAGTGGAGTCGGATGAAACTAATAAAATCAGGTATAACTCCAAGAGGAGACATTGGAGAAGAACCCAGCTGGATCTATAAGGAATTACACTTGAACGGCTGCCACACATATTTCTGCTGTCTCAATGTCACTATCTTTATCACCACATCAAGCTGAAGATGTCACCATCATCTGCACAGCTAGACATGTTTGATTAGGTCTGTGACCAGTGGGTTGGTTCAGCAATAAATATGTGAGACCTTTTGAAAAAAAGATAATTAGGTGATCTGACTGATTATAACAATTTTTATTTTCATTATTATTTCTTAAATTCCAGGTGAAGGTATTAGCATGTGCAGTGATACCTAGAATACAAGGAGCATGGACTGCACATGGTAAGGTGGATGCCTGAGTACAAAAGGACACTAACTAATTTATTTGTTTATTAAGAAAATCCCTCTAGATGCAAAGGTCTGTGGAAGCAGAGATCCTATATCATAGATTTCTTATGTACTAGACAATGAAATGTGATACTCAGAAACCCCTTCAAGAAAGGACCTATTGCCTGGCTGTGAGGAGTATGATTAGCTGATAGCCTTGCCAACACAATGTGAACTCAAACTTTCTGACTTCTACCTACACAATAGGTGAAAAGTGAGATTTCAGTGAAATTTCAATAAGTACTTTTTTTTCCATGAAGTTGGTTGAAGACCATTTTTTCATGTGTTTGAATGACTTCATTGCTATAAAGTGTATGTTAATGTCCTTTTCATTACTGAACTGTTATCATTTTCTTTTTTTTTTTTTTGTTACATTGAACTTTTATTTAGCAATATGCATTTAAGGTTCTCTGTGTCTTCACAGCTTAATAATTCATTTTTTAACACTCAATAATATCCTATTATATGGAGGTATTAGTTTGCTATTTTTTTTGTTTGTTTGTTTGTTTTTTAAACTTTTATTTAATGCATATAATTTTCCAAAGTACGACTTATAGATTACAATGGCTTCCCCCCCATACCGTCTCTCCCACCCACAACCCTCCCCTTTCCCACTCCCTCTCCCCTTCCATTCACATCATGATTCATTTTCAATTATCTTAATATACAGAAGATCAGCTTAGTATACATTAAGTATGGATTTCAACAGTTTGCTCCCACACAGAAACATAAAGTGAAAAATAATAGATGATTTTTTTAAATGATGATGAAATCAGAGCAGACCTATTGTCATGTTTAATCCCAGTGAGAGTCAAGTTGGGAATTGATAATTTCTTTTTTTTTTTTCTTTTTTTTTTTTTACAGAGGATCAGTTTAGTATGCATTAAGTAAGGATTTCAACAGTTTGCACCCCCATAGAAACACAAAGTGAAATATATTGTTTGAGTACTCGTTATAGCATTAAATCTCAATGTACAGCACATTAAGGATAGAGATCCTACATGAGGAGTAAGTGCACAGTGACTCCTGTTGTTGACTTTACCAATTGACACTCCTGTTTATGGCATCAGTAATCTCCCTATGCTCCAGTCATGAGTTTCCAAGGCTATGGAAGCCCTCTGAGTTCTCCGACTCTTATCTTGTTTAGACAAGGTCATAGTCAAAGTGGAGGTTCTCTCCTCCCTTCAGAGAAAGGTACCTCCTTCTTTGAAGACCTGTTCTTTCCACTGGGATCTCACTCGCAGAGATCTTTTGCCAGAGTGTCTTGGCTTTCCATGCCTGAAATACTCTCATGAGCTTTTCAGCCAGCTCCGAATGCCTTTAGGGCTGATTCTGAGGCCAGAGTGCTATTTAGGACATCTGCCATTCTATGAGTCTGCTGAGTATCTCACTTCCCATGTTGGATCACTCTCCCCTTTATTTACTCCATCGGTTAGCTTTAGCAGGTACTAGACTTGTCTATGTGTTCCCTTTGACTCCCAGTCCCTTCACCATGACCAACTGTGAACTGAAACTGATCACCTGGAACAGTGAGATGGCATTGGTACATGCCACCTCGATGGGATTGAATTGGAATCCCCTGGTATGCTTCCAACTCCACCACTTGGGGCAAGTCAGCTTGAGCATGTCCCAAATTATACATCTCTTCCCTCTCCCATTCCCACCACCATGTTCAACAGGGATCACATTTCAGTTAATTTTCAACACTTAAGAATAACTGTGCATCAATTACAGATCTAAACCAGTCATATTAAGTAGAACGCGCGGTAGCCTTAGGTGCGGAGCGTGTTTGCGCCCGCTCCTGCTCCTGACTCACCGCTGTTCGCTCTCGCCGAGGAACAAGTAGGTCAGGAAGCCGCGCCGCAGCCATGGCTTTTAAAGACACCGGAAAGACACCTGTGGAACCAGAGGTGGCCATTCACCGAATTAGGATCACCCTGACCAGTCGCAACGTCAAGTCCCTGGAGAAGGTGTGTGCTGACTTGATCAGAGGAGCAAAGGAGAAGAATCTGAAAGTGAAAGGACCTGTTCGGATGCCTACCAAGACACTGCGAATCACTACAAGAAAAACCCCTTGTGGTGAAGGTTCTAAGACATGGGACCGCTTCCAGATGCGAATCCATAAACGGCTCATTGACTTGCACAGCCCTTCTGAGATTGTGAACTGTTATATTTTCAATATTAATTTGTAGAAATTCTTTGTATATTATTGAAATTAACCATTTATCCACAATGTTAAGTTGTAACTCATTTTCCTAGATTTTCATTTGTTTTTGACTGTGTTTTTGGTGCATATGTTTTGAGAATTAATTCCAGCAAGCCTAGAATTTACTAAATTGTTTTTGAAGAACTACCTGTACAGCATTAATGTCTGGTCTAGGTACAAACTGATAGTGTTGTTTTGTAAACATGGGCTTCAAGTGAGTTTGGGAGTAATTTATACCAACTTATTAATGTTGTTTGATAACTGTGAGATTGATTATTTGGAATTGTTCTCATGAAGACTCTAGAAGAGCTTTGTCATACAGGGTGGTTACTTAGCAATAACATGCCTAAATGATCAGCAAAGTAGAAACAGCAGCATCTGAACTCCATTTGAGTCTCCTTTGTTCTCAGGTCTCTTGTACACATGTCAGTGGTTCCTGATCTGAGAGATAAAGTGAATCCTGGTATGAACCTTCATAGAGAATACAGATGGAGTTTGTACCTACCTGCTCCAAAACCTTTGCTGCCAGGCTGCCTTTAGATGTTATGCATACCTTTATTTTAAAGATGTTTTTGTATCACTCTCAAAACAAAACAAAACAAATCCTGTAACACAAACATTGTCACTTGGATCCTGTGTGTCTTCTTTAGCAATCAGAGCCAATCAATTGATGCCACCATCAATGCAATGGCTATCATAACACAAATTTCATTCATTTTTACACAGTCAAATGTTTAATGGTTTATTTATTTATTTGACAGGCATAGTTGCAGAGTTACAGAGAGAGGAGAAACAAGATAGAGAGAGAAAGAGAGAGGTAAAGAAAGAGAGAGAGAAAGAGAGAGAGAGAGGTATCTTCCATCCACTGGTTCATTCCCCAAGTGGCTTCAGTGGCCAGGGCTGGTCCAGGCCAAAGTCAGCAGCCTGGAGCTCCATCTGGGTCTCCCAAACAGGTGGCAGAGATCCAAGTACCTGGGCCATCTTCCACTGCTTTCCCAGACACATTAGTGAGAAGCTGGAGCAGAAGTGGAACATATAGGACTTGAACAGGTTCTCACATGGGATGGAAGGATCACAGGCAGAGGCTTAACCCACAATGGCAGTCCCACAGAGTCAAAATTTTTATCTGCTTTATGGCTTTGGAATTTGATGTCTAATTTTTTATCCAATTGATTATTGGTTTGTTGCACCATCATTCTTGACTTAAGATTTCTTAATTCATTGTAGAATTTTGAGTCTGTTTTATATGTTTCTCTCCTCTCTCTCTTTACCTCTCTCTCTATCTATCTATCTCTCTCTCTCCCTCTTCCTCCTCCTGCTCCTTTTCTTCTCCTCCTCTTCCTCCTTCCAGGTGGACCTTCAGTCTTATATTGATAATTTTCAAGTTCTTCTTTCAAAGTTATTTGACATAATACCGCAAAACCAGTTCACTTACTGAGCCACTGATGGGATTGTTCAGTTTCTTTCAATGTGGCCAAATTCCATTCCCTGGGCCCACAGATTCCTATTAGTCATAGGCCTACAATAGCCTCTTTCTATCTCATTTCCAGAATAGAGGACATTAAATTGTGATCCCCCTTTAATCCTTGCATGTTCACCTAATGTTCAGCAAAACTGCATTTGAAAACAATCAAACCTTTGATATTTTTACCCCTATAGAGAAGTTTCTCTGGATTTTTGAGCCTACTATGCCTTTTTTATTTTTCTATAATCTCACACATTTAGAGCAGAATTTAAAGCTTTATTAGAAATCTACAATAATATGCAAACATACTTACTGAAATTTTCCTTACATATGCTAAAAGAAAATGTGACAGATTTCATAGATATATTTTACTATCTATAGTTGTGCTTTCAAGAACTCTCTTCTAAAACCATGACCAGGAGAACAAAACGCAGCCTTCAGAAGAGTTTAATAAATATCCTCCAATCATTGTCAATCAGGAATCCAGCCAGAATTTCTGACATTGCTGCAGATTTTAATAACCCTAACTACTCACCAGGCAATCTTTCTGTGTAACAACAGATCACAGACATGTCATTCTCACTAACATTCTAAGTGTGTTACTTTGATTAAAAACTAAATTGCTAAACCTTGTACAATAAAAACCAGGTTGCTATAATTATGGGTTTAAGCAGCTGAAAGCATCTGAAAGAATAGCCTCTGATCCCATCTTTCATTGATGTAGGCAGGAGGATTAAAGTTAAAAGACCATCCAGAGGTCTGATATCTAACAGAACACACAGATCAAGTGTCCAAAGTAAGAAACGTTATGATTCAACTGAGATCCAGGTTAAGAGCATTGCAATGCAAAGCCATTAGCTCCCAGAAAAAGGGCTCAGCTTCAACTAAATCTCTAGAGAACTATTGTCCTCCTATTGTAATGAAGTGGAGAAAATTGGGTTCACCAGAATTCCTTTGCAAAGATTACACTAGCTCTGTTTAGAAATGATTCCCATGCACCAGCCTCAGATAGACAGCAAGACTTGCAGGGAAACTGAAAGTTATAGAAATGACCAGAAAGAAATTCTGGGTTATGTCAGGTGGAGAGAGGAATAAAACAAGAGAAAGAAGAACAGGGTATTGCAAACAGGATGGCAAGAGTGTACAATGTGTTTTGTGATCCTTTCTTATATCATTTCCCCACAAATCCAGTAAAGCCCTCAAAAACCTGTAAAGATTTCATGGGAATGTTTTTTATGTATGTGTGGTGACATAAAGGGGATGGAATTATATATCCAGGGTGTCCTGGGGCAAATTAGAAATAGATCACCTGGACGAGGGAGTTCAGGAGCAAAGAGAAGCCCTAGGCATAAGGTCTTCAAATGTTTTCTGTGAAGGACCATACAGTAAATATTTCAGGTCTCATGAGTCAACAGTCTTTGTCATAACTGCTCAACTCTGCCATTATAACATGAAAGCTGTTGGGATCAATTGCATCACAAAATGTTTCTCTTGATATTTTGATCAACTATTTAAAATGTAAAATTTTATTGCTTCTCGGACTTTTGGCTAAGATCAAGTGTAAAAATGTAAAATTTTTACTTAATTGTGCACTTTATAAAAACATTTAAACATGGCTGCAGTTTGCCAACCCCTAGCCTAGGATATGCAGCATAGTGTGCTGTACATTGAGATATAATGCTATAACTAGTACTCAAACAGT